AATGAACCCCTAGTAAAGAGTAAGGTGATGAGGGGTATCCAAAAGATTTTGATAAAAAAAAAACTGGATATCAAATTGGAGGGGCAGGAAGAAATAATGTTTTAAAATACAATGGACCCCCGGGTTAAAAGATATTTTTTCAAACCATATGTATGTTCAGGTGCCAGTACCGACCGAATTTATTCCCATAAGGAATATTGTGAAGTAGATTAGTCCATTTCAGACCCCCAAACATACACGTACAAACGCACTTACATAAATACACTTACATAATTGGTCGCATTCGGAGGTAATCGTTATGCGGGGGTCCACTGTATTTGGAAGTTGACGTGTCAGCAGATGGATTTATGAAGGTAAAAAGGTGAGTGGTGCATTGAGGTATATGTGGAGGCAAAAAACATTATCTATGGAGGCAAAGAAGGGAATGTATGAAAGTATAGTGGTTACAACACCCTTATATGGGTGTGAAGCTTGGGTTATAAATGCTGCAGCGAGGAGGCGGTTGGAGGCGGTGGAGATGTCCTGTCTAAGGGCAATGTGTGGTGTAAATATTATGCAGAGAATTCGGAGTGTGGAAATTAGGAGAAGGTGTGGAGTTAATAAAAGTATTAGAGAGCTGAAGAGGGCTTGTTGAGGTGGTTTGGTCATTTAGAGAGAATGGATCAAAGTAGAATGACATGGAGAGCGTTTATAATCTGTAGGGGAAGGAAGGTGGGGTAGGGATCATCCTTGAAAAGGTTGGAGGGAGAGGGTCAAGGAGGTTTTGTGAGCGAGGGGCTTGGACTTCCAGCAAGCATGCATGAGCGTGTTAGGTAGGACTGAGTGGAGACAAATGGTACTTGGGACCTGATAAGCTGCTGGAGTGTGAGCAGGGTAATATTTAGTGAAGGGATTCAGGGAAACCGGTTATTTTTATATAGCTGAACTTGAGTACTGGAAACGGGAAGTACAATGCCTGCACTCTAAAGGAGGGGTTTGGGATATTGGCAGTTTGGAGGGATAAGTTGTGTATCTTTATAATATATACTTCTAAACTGTTGTATTCTGAGCACCTCTGCAAAACAGTGATTATGTATGAGTGAGGTGAAAGTGTTGAACGATGATGAAGTTTTTTCTTTTTGATGATTTTCTTTCTTTTTGGGTCACCCTGCCTCGGTGGGAGACGGCCAACTTGTTAAAACTTCCACAATGTTTATGAGTAAGCGTTAAGCCCGTAAGGGGCCTACAGCACTTGGGGAATAGGACACAATAGATATCTACCCTCTACCAGGATACACAGCAATTCACAACTGCAGACCAAACCAAGTTGGGGGTGGTATTGCAATCTATTACTCTAACCAATTATCTTGTATTAGCACCACTTGCTTTAGTGATGAATATGGGGAATACATTTTTGCTAATTTTACTGTAAAAAACCTTAAGACACCCATAACAATCGGTGCCATTTACCGGATACCTCACACAAACATCCCAAATTTCAGTGAGAAATTAAAGTCACTAATAACAAACAGACAAATGAATAAGCACCACCTTCTCTTAGCTGGAGACTTCAACATCAACCTTGGCTTACTAGATGATCAGCCTGTAACTGGATTTCATCAACAATATGAACAACACACTTCTCATACCAACAATAACTAAACCAACCAGGCTCACTGAGACAAGTGCAACCATAATAACCACAATGGACCAATATACAAGCCCCCCATAAATCGGGGATAATCACAGATAGCAAAACAACCACTACCCTACCTTCCTCCTGACAAACATAATAAACCACCACTTGAATACAACAAAGTCTCATTTAGACTCCATGACGAGGCCTCAAAAAGGGAAGTTCACAACTGACCTAGAGATTGTTGACGGGCCTACAGAATTCTCCAAGGGCCAATGGTATGATGACGGGACAGACATTTTCTTAACAAATTACTTAGACTATCAACAAACATTGTCCTATAAAACGAAACAGATCCCAAACAAACGGTTTGGGTTTGCCCATGGCTAACCACACCATTCTGAAATCCATTGACAAGAAACCCCAAATATGAAAAGCAATATAGACAGGGCTTAATACACAAAGATATTCTTAAACACTATTCATCAGTTCTCACCAAAGTAAAAAAAGAAGCCAAACAACTATAACTACTCCAGTAGATTCACAGACACTAGAGGAGATATAAAAAAGACCTGGAAAACACCTTCTCAGATTCTAGGGACCCACAAACTGAAAAAAACCAAGAATATTGTCCTAACTAAACCTAATGAAACACCATTTAAAATCCCACTGACACAGCTAAAAAGATAAACGACTTCTTCTCAACCATAGGACTAAACTCGCCAATAAAATCCCACATACTAATGCCCAGCCGGGGACTCCCTTTAATGGGAATTTCCCAAATTCCTTCTATCTTGCACCAACTGAGCCCTCGGAAGTCACAGAGATTAAATAAAGTCACTTAAAAACAACTCGGGAATCTGTCAATGTCCCACCATTACTGTACAAGCAGCGGCCCATATCCTTTCGCATGCTTTTTCCATTACTTTTTAACAGTCACTAGAAACTACACCTTCCCGAAACTACTCAAGATGGCAAGGGTTACACCAATCCCTAAAGGTGGTGACCCTACAGACTTTAAACAACTATAGGCCAATAAACAAACTTACCATTTCTATCCAAAATCTTTGAGAAACTCGTGCACAGGAACTATATTCATTTATAACAGCACAAAACATACTCAACCCCTGCCAATTTGGATTTAGGAAAAAAAAAAGCACTAATTATGCAATCATAAAAATGCTAGATCTGCTTTACACAGCATTGAAAATAAGGAATATCCACTAGAATTTTATTGACCTAAGAAAAGCTTTGACACAGTAACCACGGCATCCTACTCCACAAACTTGACCATTATGGTATAAGAGGCCATGCGCTTGCTTATTTCAAATCTACCTTATAATAGGTTAGTTTTTCACCATTAAAGCACGCATCAACAACCCCATTGAACGGAGTTCCGCGGGAAGTGCCCCGGGTCCCCTCTCTTCCTAAATTTACTCAATGATCTTCCAAACGTACTCAACCCAAAACCCCTTTCCTTTGCTGACGACACGACTTCGTCTCTCTCACCCAAAACTTGCCCCCCTAAACACCATTTTAACGAGGAGCTGATCAAAAACGATTTGGGATGACGTCAAATAAACTTACCTTAACTTTAACAAAACCTACTATATTAGTTTGGAGCGAGCAGGAGATGCACAAATTTAACTTTAAAGATCGAAACCTCAAATTTACCAACATAATGAGGGAAATTCCCAGGCCATACCTTGACAAAAAACCCGAATTTCAGCACCCATATCCAACACAAACCAAAAAAAATCCAAACAGTTGGGGTCCTCTCCCAAATACATACTACGTGCCGCAAAAATGCCCTTCTCACACTAACCACTCACTTATTTCCATCTCACCTATGCTTTTTGTGCTTGGGATCAACTGCAGCAACACACCTAAAGCCAATAATAACCCCAAAAAAAAGCTGCAGTAAAAAAATAATCATAAATCCCACCCTGGCAACCCCCCCCCCCCACCCCCTTCATAGTCTAAATTACTCCCGTTCGTACATCCACACTTCACTGGCAACTACATTACAGCCTTAAACCCAAACAACCTTGACCTAAAAACGCTTTCTTTATAGTGTGACAGAACCCACAGGCATAACACCGACACAAACATCTCTACGACAACCCCCCGTTCCCCACAAAACCCTTTTCAAAAATTCAATGTATGTCAAAGGCCCAAAAAACTGGAAAACCCTACCGAGAACTCTAGAACTGCAGACTCTTCTCACCTTCAAAACTACCCTTAAAAACTCTTTTCTCCCGATACACCCGTAACTAACTACACGAAAACCCCCTGGTGGTTCACACTTACACTCACTGACTCATTTTACCCTAAACAGAAATATTAATCTCAATCTTAAAAATAATGAATCCTATGACACTCCAATACTGAAACTATGTACTGTGCCAAAACAAAAGCATTCACATTGCTAAACTCACAAACTAGTATTTAGTCACTTAGCCATAATACCAACTTACCTCATAATTTGTAATATTTTAAAATAAAGAATTAAACTAAGTCTGCCCGAAATGCCTAGCCATGCTAGGCGTTCTAGTGGTACACTCTGTAATCATTATTTAACTACATGTAAACCACACAACAACCAAATTCTGTAAATTCAACATTGTAATCTTTATAGAGAATAAACTTTGAATTGAATTATAATCAAGGGGGAAGCGCTAAACCCGGAGGATTATAAAGCGCCTGGGGGGGGGTATGTGGAAGGCATTCAGGCTTAATTCGGGGAACTGGAGCACAGATCCAATTCCCTAAATCAAGAGCCCCTCACCAACATCAAGGAACCTTCCTTGAGGGGAATAGGATGGAATACATTCGAAGGTGGTAGCTCCACTTCCTTAAATAAAGAGCCCTTCACCAGCATGAAAATATATTTCCCCTCGAAGAGAACTAAGATATACATATATATAATCTCGACACTGGTATGTAACACTTGGAAGACTCGGTCTTATATCTCTGTTCTGGCTTAGCGCTTCTTTTTTATTATAATAATAATATATCTCTGTTCATGTCTTCACTCAACTTTGTTTATGTCGAGTGTAATATAGAGTAAATCTTAAAGGAAACAGATGGTCTTCAATGTGCATATTTATTCATTGCATTAGAATAAGAGAAAAATAGGTTGTAATAAGTACATGATGATGGACACGTCAGAGGTCAATGTTTACCTCACAACCTCAACCTCAACCATATTTACGTCTCATGTACAGCATTCATATATTTCACTCAACTTTTTCACCGCCAATATCTCTCTCTAATTTCGTCTTTAAAACGTGTAAAGAAATAATAAATATTGCATATTATGGAGTGTTGGTGATGTTTGATTTTATAATGTTGTTGGTTGTGGTTGAAAAATGTGTTGTGTGACCCGGGAATATCAAGGGTAGGATTTCCTACTTCTCTTTCGATATTGAATTTTTCTCGTAAGTATTCCAACATCTGTGTTGCTCCCAGGCGACTTACACCCTCTAGAAACTGCTGAGGCGAGGCACTAGAGGAAAGGTACTGCCCAGGACACCTCAAGATATGTGAAGAAGGTGGCAGTTGGAGTGGAGGGAGGAATGATGTGATGAGTCTGGCTGGTCCTGGGTAGGACAGCCATTACCCTCACCAACATACTTGATCTCGTGACCTAAACGACGTTAATATAAGAGTCGATGACTGGTAAGCAGGCAGCTGGCAGGTGTGTTGCTTGGCCAGTCTTCAGTGCATGTTACCAGGCTTCATGCATGACTAGCTAGAGTAACGGCTGGTGTGCTGCGTATTTCTTGATCAGTCAGGTTAAGTACCTATGGGCCTGGCCAGAAGCTAAATGGCTGACCACCTCTGCATAGCCTTGAGAAACTATGGTATTTTTCTCCGACAGAGCATGCCTATACAGGAAAAAAATGGGATCGACTTATTCCTATAGTAGCCAGGCAGAAATATAGAATGTAAACAGTATTAGTGGATGTTTGTTTCTGTCTTGAATTTTGGGTTTAGTGCTTAGTTATTATAATAATTATAAATTCTTTTTATTTTGAGCTATATGACCCATATGGATTTAGCACTTAAATTATATTTCTATCTGGAGCATATAATTTGAACCTGTGCTCTCCTTCCTTGGGTTCAGTCTGAATGTCTCATTTCCCAGGCACTGTATAACCCCTCTGGTTTTAGTGCTCACCATGAATGTAATAATAATCTAATTTATAAGATATCATGACAGTCTTCTGGGAGAATATTGCGGTGAGTCTTTAATGTGAGAACTGTGTGAAAAGTATTACTATGGGAGGACAGAGGTTTTTCAGTGTGTAAAGACTGGGGAGAGTTGTTATAAAAGAAGTGTGAGAAGTGTAGTTGTGAGAAAATTCTTGGCTTCGTATCAAGAAGTATAAATAACAAATCCTCAGTTATACATCATCACTATATATCGTTGATAAGACCCTATTTACAGTATGCTGTGCAGTTCTGGTAACTATATTAGATGACAGAGTTGATCTCATGTGCCAGAAATCTTTCCTACAAGGATAGACTTAAGGGCCCTATATCTTCACTCTCTAGAAAAGTGTAGAATTAGTTAGGATAGGAGCATAGTTCCTTTGTATAAAGGCAAAGGGGACAAAAGAGAGTGCAAAAATTATAGGGGGATAAGTCTGTTGAGTATACCTGGTAAAGTGTAGGGTAGAGTTATTACTGAAAGAATTAAGAGTAAGACAGAGAATAGGATAGCAGATGAACAAGGAGGCTTTAGGAAAGGTAGGTGGACCAGGTGTTTACAGTGAAACATATAAGTGAACAGTATTTAGATAAAGGCTAAAGAGGTTTTTGTGGCATTTTTGGATTTGGAAAAGGCGTATGACAGGGTGGATAGGGGGGCAATGTGGCAGATGTTGCAGGTGTATGGTGTAGGAGGTAGGTTACTGAAAGCAGTGAAGAGTTTTTATGAGGATAGTGAGGCTCAAGTTAGAGTATGTAGGAAAGAGGGAGATTATTTCCCAGTAAAAGTAGGCCTTAGGCAAGGATGTGTGATGTCACCGTGGTTGTTTAATATATTTATAGATGGGGTTGTAAGAGAAGTAAATGTGAGGGTCTTGGCAAGAGGCGTGGAGTTAAAAGATAAAGAATCACACATAAAGTGGGAGTTGTCACAGTTGCTCTTTGCTGATGACACTGTTCTCTTGGGAGATTCTGAAGAGAAGTTGCAGAGGTTGATGGATGAATTTGGTAGGGTATGTAAAAGAAGAAAATTAAAAGTGAATACAGGAAAGAGTAAGGTTATGAGGATAACAAAAAGATCAGGCGATGAAAGATTGGATATCAGATTGGAGGGAGAGAGTATGGAGGAGGTAAATGTATTCAGATATTTGGGAATGGACATGTCAGCGGATGGGTCTATGAAAGATGAGGTGAATCATAGAATTGATGAGGGGAAAAGGGTAAGCGGTGCACTTAGGAGTCTGTGGAGACAAAGAACTTTGTCCTTGGAGGCAAAGAGGGGAATGTATGAGAGTATAGTTTTACCAACGCTCTTATGTGGTTGTGAAGCATGGGTGATGAATGTTGCAGCGAGGAGAAGGCTGGAGGCAGTGGAGATGTCATGTCTGAGGGCAATGTGTGGTGTGAATATAATGTAGAGAATTCGTAGTTTGGAAGTTAGGAGGAGGTGCGGGATTACCAAAACTGTTGTCCAGAGGGCTGAGGAAGGGTTGTTGAAATGGTTCGGACATGTAGAGAGAATGGAGCAAAACAGAATGACTTCAAGAGTGTCTCAGTCTGTAGTGGAAGGAAGGCGGGGTAGGGGTCGGCCTAGGAAAACTTGGAGGGAGGGGGTAAAGGAGGTTTTGTGTGCGAGGGGCTTGGAGTTCCAGCGGGCATGCGTGAGCGTGCTTGATAGGAGTGAATGGAGACAAATGGTTTTTAATACTTGACGTGCTGTTGGAGTGTGAGCAAAGTAGCATTTATGAAGGGATTCAGGGAAACCGGCAGGCCGGACTTGAGTCCTAGAGATGGGAAGTACAGTGCCTGCACTCTGAAGGAGGGGTGTTAATGTTGCAGTTTAAAAACTGTAGTGTAAAGCACCCTTCTGGCAAGACAGTGATGGAGTGAATGATGGTGAAAGTTTTTCTTTTTCGGGTCACCCTGCCTTGGTGGGAATCGGCCAGTGTGCTAATAAAAAAAAAAGGTTGAGGAGTTTAAATGGAAGACAGGAATAAATAAGGGAATATAAATAACATGCTAAAAATATATAAGAGAGGACTTACAGCAATGGGTTCACAGGAAAGCACAGGTTTGTTAACAGAGTTGTAGATGAGTGGTGCAAACTTTGAGTAGTGTTACTGAAGCAAAAACCATGGGAAGCTGAGAAGGCTCTGCATTCTCTCTTAGAAAAATTTAGTTTTATTATATGTTAGAATTTTGTAAACAGTTAAAAGATATTTATAACAAATATTTTATTTACAGAAATTACATGAGTAGTGAACACCAAAATTTGCCAGTGAGTGCCAGCTTAAGAAGCCCTGCCAGGATGGCAACAGCTGGGCCAAGTAGCACTAGTGACAGTCGGAGTGAAAGCAGCAACAATGCCTCGGGTGGAGCAGAAGGCAATGGAGAAGATGCCACTGACAATTCAAACTTTGAGTGCAATATATGTCTCGATACAGCAAAGGATGCGGTCATCTCCATGTGTGGACATCTCTTTTGGTATGGCAGAATTGGCTTATTCACTTTTATATTCATGCCCCCTTAAAATATCTTGATCATTTGTAATGCCTTTTTTTATTATTAGGGGAGTCTTTGACTTGTTTAGTTATCCCTTCTTGGAATTTTTTTTTTATTTACCTGCCGCTTTGGTTTTCGTGCAGTATTTTGAGAATTACTCTTCACACTGACCTTAAACATTAAACTTATGTTTATCTTGGTGAAACAAAGGCTGGTAAAATATATTAATTGAGCAGTGTATCCATCTACTGTATGCACTTTAAAGCATAGTTATTATACTGACATCATCATCATTCAGCAAACCAGCCGTATCCCCACCAAGGCAGGGTGGCCCAAAAACAAAAATGAAAGTTTCTCTTTTTAAATTTAGTAATTTATACAAGAGAAGGGGTTACTAGCCCCTTGCTCCCGGTATTTTTAGTCACCTCTTACAACAAGCATGGCTTACGGAAGAAGAATTCTGTTCTACTTCCCCATGGAGATAAGAGGAAATAAACAAAAATAAGAACTAGTATGAAAATAGAAGAAAATCCATAGGGGTGTGTGTATATATATATACTTATACATGTATGTGTAGTGTGACCTAAATGTAAATAGAAGTAGCAGGACATACTTGAAATCTTACATGTTTATGAGAAAGAGAAAAGACACCAGCAATCCTACCATCATGTAAAACAAGTCCAGGCTTCCGTATTATACTCACTTGGCAGGACAGTAGTACACCTCCCTGGGCGGTTGCTGTCTACCAACCTACTTCCTAGCTGTATTGTACATATGCTAATAAATTGAAGTTTAACACTTCACAAATTGACTTTGTAACACCATCAAAATATGGAGCAGCTTTCTACAGTGGTGACTTTTGAGATCTTCTTGGCACTCATGCATGCCTCTATTGAAAACTTCTTTACGTATTTATGAGTCATGGCTACACAGGATTTAACCTTTCACTACAATAGCCATGGCATCAACAGTGCAGCTGCAGCCACTCTATTATCCTGGAGTTTCCTCATCACATCAGTGATGCCACCATGTATGCTGCTCATCTCAACTGTGTTTTGCAAAATGACATAAAATAATAGTAGGGAAATGAGAGAGAGCATCGTACCCTGCCTCAGTGGGACACATCCGACGTGTTGAAAAAAAAATGTATTAATTCAGTAACCTTGTGTAAGGGAGTTGGAAGATATGTTTATAGTGTGTTTGTTAATGTCTACTGTACATATAGCAGACATTATCAGTTTACATACATGTTTACTAAGTTTAAAACTGGAGTATTAGCAATGAAAAATCTTGCAGTTGGCCTTGCTTACACCAGTGGCTAGAAACACGACCAAACAATCAAACATGTCCTGTTTGTAAAGCAGCAATATCAAGAGAGAAGGTGATACCCCTGTATGGTAGAGGGTCTGGTAATCAACAGGATCCAAGGTCAGTTCTTATTTGTCTTCACATGGTATTAAAACACTTACTTATCATTTAAAACATTCACTTATTCATAAGGAAGTAGCATAAAAAATATGTCATTTTACCCATCTTGTTTGGAAGTATTAGTACAGTACTTGGCTTAAATATTTGTTATTTAGGCATATAGGTTTATTAAATATTTGTATGAACATAGAGCATAATGTCTGAAAATATATGAAGGAAACATTGAATTTAGATGCTAAGCTCAAAATAAATGAAGAATGGAGGAGGAAAACCTGTGTGTAACATTTGCTATAAGTTACACCTTTGGTTAAAGGTGTAATTGTGCTTCTGTTAATGCCAGTACACTTAGGGGCCAATTTACAACTTAAAAAATATAACTCATGTTCATTGTATCATATAGCTATCTAAGAAAATGCACTGACAGACTTGTTTCCATTCTCTGAGTTACTTCTCATGTAAACACAGTGACGAAGGTATGGAAGTTCATTAGCAAGCTTTCACCCACCCCAGCTTGCTTGCTACATGTTGCTAGACTCCAGTGACTTAAATTAAGAGATCTTAAGTTTGCCACAAAATGAACATGGTAATGTTTGTAGCAGCCATTCTGGATTGCAAGGTTTTTACAGAAACCACCTATCACCCTCTGCTCTAAGTTTGAAACAAAATTGTAATGAACAGCTTTAGTTTTTTACGTGAGGGACTTACAGAGGCTCAGTCCAGGGGTGTGTAGTTGCAAAAGAAAATTTAGAGATTCCTCCTGAGAGAGAGATCCAAAACAGCACATAGAATCTTGCTGACTGTGTGAATGTAGTAATGGCATTAATCTGTAAATTGTTTCCTTATTTCAACATCTTCATTTACTACTAAGCATTCTATACTGAATTATTTCCTCTGCTACATATACCCCTTTCATTTTGCTCACTCATAGATGCAGGGCAGTTTGATATAAAGTTTTTAAACTGCACTTTTTAAAATAGCAAAATTCTCTATAATTTTACCCCCTGTATCGTGTTGTACAGGTTGGCCATCACTAATCCGGCAATCAGTTATCCGGTTCCATCAGTAATCCAACACTAATTTCAGCTAGCATAATTTCAGATTCCATCATTATACTGACTCATAAATTGTGCAGATGGTTGTAAATCCACAGTAGCAAGCCAGTGGAGGAGAAAGCAGCGATGAAAATGAGAAGATTTAGCAGAAAGAGTCTCTTTTGATAGGTTAATTAAGTGTATTTTAACCTAACCACTCTATAATCCTGCAAACTCACTAATCCAGCACACTACAGGTCCCAGTGATGCCGGATTAGTGATGGCCAACATGTATTTTGTTTTACTCTTATATTTCAACTTTCATTTTGTTTATTGTCATTAATATTTCTTCACTTGTTTTTGTTTATTAGAAATGCAGGAACTACTTAATGTCTGTATTTCTCTATTTACATCAGAATGCTACACAAAATTATTTAATTACTACTACTGCTGTATTTTTTGATTGCTTTCTTCATGCTAATGGAGGGCTCTTGAATCCATGAAATTGGAGATGCTCCCTGTTTCCTCAAATAGAATTTGAGTGCCCCCTCTTCCCAAGGTGTTGTGTTGACCCTTGCAGGTTTAGCACTTAACCAATGAATACGTTTCTTTTCATACTTATTATAAGAATTAATGCAGCAGGTTGCCCAAGGGATGACCCTTACAGGTTTGATGCTTCACACAAATATAATAATACTGTAATAATGTGCTGTATATGAAGAAAATAAATATTTGGTGGTACATTGCAGAGATAAGCTTCCACCTCGACCTCCTGGTCAGCGCACTGAACCTGAGCCTCACAATGGATTTATGCCTGGGTTTGGGTTTGGAGATGGCGGGGGATTCCAGTTCCATTTTGGCATTGGTGCATTTCCCTTCGGAATATTCACTACCTTCAACAACTGGGGAGCAGGTGCAGTTCCTCCAGGTGAGTATTTATTCACAACCAGGGGGGGATTGGATAATTTTAAGCTAGCCATAATAAAAGCCATGGAAGAATCACTACTCCAGATGAGGGGTGTGGCGAAAAATGTGATTCTGGCATTTATTATATTCGACAATTATTTATGCACACATTTATAAAAGGATGATTCCTTTCCTGTATAGAAACTGGACTGCCTTTAGTAACGTGCTACAGTTACCCTTCGCTTTACAACCTGAATAGAGACATAAGGTATCTTTCTTTCTTCTTTCAACACACCGGCCGTATCCCACCAAGGCAGGGTGGCCCAAAAAGAAAAATGAAAGTTTCTCTTTTAAATTTAGTAATTTATATGGGAGAAGGGGTTACTAGCCCCTTGCTCCCGGCATTTTAGTTGCCTCTTACAACACGCATGGCTTACGGAGGAAGAATTCTGTTCCATTTCCCCATGGAGAGACATAAGGTATGTTAAGTAAAAAATACATTAAGAAAACTGCATATTCTTGTAGAGACCCATATTTTAACTCGAGATGAGGACTTGGACAATAATCCATGTAAATTTTATTAGGGGAAAAGGGAAAATTCACAGTTATGCATTGTATATATGAGGTACAGTGGTTTCAAACTGCTCCCAACTCGACCAGTTATGTAAGTGTATTATTGTAAGTGCTTTTGCAAGTGTATTTTTGGGAGTCTGAAGCGGACTGATCTAATTCCCATTATTCCATATGGGAACAAATTCGTTCGGTAACAGCACTCGAACAGCCTTCTGGAACGAAAAAAGTTCAGAACTCGGGGTACCACTGTATACTGGCTTCCTTTCTCACATTCCACATCTCAGTCTCCCATACGTGTTTTTACTCATCCATTCCCTCCTCTCCCAATTGAAAAGTGAATCCTACCAGAAATTTGCTCTTGTAATGGCTTTTCTGTGCAATACTCATCAAAGACAGTAATACATGCAACTTAAAATGTGGCCGCTGATAATGAGATCATGAGCACAAATCACAGGCAGCGAGAAACACACAAAACACTCCAATCTGTTGTCCATCATTCAGTTGTCTTTGCTCGAGCAGGTGCTTTCCTGCCTCTGATCCATGGCAGTTATGATCTGCTGATTGCAAGAGACAGACTTGCTTCTCTCACAACTAGGCTTTTGTACAGTACTTATTTGTACATTTATACATTTGAATAAGAACATAAAAACAATTATTCACAGGTTAATGTCATTAAAATTATGCATATTTTTTTATTTGCAGAACTTAACCAATTGCATATTTGAATTTAACTTTAAAAAAAGTGGAGATATTGAAAGATAATATAGAAGAATGTGCAGAAAGAAATGGGTTACTTAATTGGTTGCTTAAAAAAAAAATCTCGCATCAAATGAAAGCAAACAGAAGCTTGGAAATTTAACATAAATTCATCCATTCTTGTTTGTTATTTACTTTTACTGACCTTACGAAAAATAGCTGTGATTAGACTTAACTAGATAGAAATTGCCACCTCACCATACTAAGAAATTTCATATTCATCACAGAAAGTTTAATAGGTCACATACGTAGTATTCCCTGTATATGATAGCTGTGTTGCATGACTGTCAGCATGAGTTAAACCCAGTAAAATTTTCAGTGTTTTCTTGTTGCTATACATGCATTATAAATGAGCTTGTTAGCATGAAAGGCAGAGCATTATAAAGTATCAGCTTTATCTAATAATTATTCAAAAGGTTAAACAATATTTATTTAATTCATCATACTGTCTTCAAGGTCAAATTTTGAAGGGGGAAAAAATGGTCTCATCTAGGTGGCTATGGGATTGATAGAACATATGAAAATTAAGCCTGATTTAGTTAGTGACAGTATGGCTGTCACTAACTAACTAGTGGCAGTATGGCTGTGTCATATAGCCATTGTTATTTTGGTATTTGGATTTAGTTTAACATATCCCAGTTTGTATTTTCTTTAAATGACTTGTGACTTGTTTAGTCAGCAATAAATTTTCTTACTTGCCAATGAAAAGAATAAGCTCAGGTTAAGTCAGTTAATGTAGCATTATTGCTCAAGGTGACATGCAATGAAATGAGTCAGTGGTTTTGCTTATTACCCATGATTGATTTTCTAATTATTGGAAAAATATATTTAAGTCCTAGACTGCTTCATTACATTTAAATATCTTCTTTAATTATTTTAATTTATGAGAAATCGTTAAGAATTTAAGGTGGTAACAGAATTAAGTCTTCAGAAGGCCCAAGAAATGAACTGGACCATTTTCTATATGTCTTGGCGACTGTTGAACCACTAAAAAAGTATCACTTAAGCTTTTGCAATAGATCCCTCAAGGCACACAACTGACTCATTACATTGCTGTTACAGAAATGGAGAGAGAGTTGCCCCAGCTTCTGCAATATATTTTACTCATTATGGCCTTCTTCTTCTATTGGAATCTCTTCTTTGGCTGACCAAAAAGGTATTTTTATGGCGCAGTTTTCTGTGATATATCCGATAATAATATTTACATATTTATTGTTTGTACAAAAATACATTTTTAAGGGGTGCATCTGGAATTTTCTTTTAAATTTAGAAACTGATGTTGTCATTCATTGGTACATCCATGGCAAAAAAAAAGATGATCACAAACATGCAAGAAAACTTAAGTAATCCTTGCTTTTTATGCAAAACAAGGACATTCATATACTGTACTGTTTATATGCAGTATTTTATTCCCCATTTACTATTAGATGTTGGGGATTGAGCTGTGCGAGTTGTGTTTATTATGGCTAAGTACGCAAGTGTTACGAATATGCATTACAGCCCTCTAGGGAGGTTCCTTGATATCACTAAGGAGCTCTTGATCCAAGGAATTGAATTTGTCCTCTCATTACTTGGCTCTAACCTGATTACCTTTTTATTCCCCTGATGCTATATAACCCCTACGGGTTTAAAATTTCCTCATGAATATTGCATAATAATACAATATGAAACTAAAGTTTTTTTTTTTTAAAGAAAGTTTTTAAATGATCCTAAATTAATGCAAGGATTAAAATATTTCATTCAAGATTTAAGGCATGTTAATGTTGGCAAATATCAGCATATGTGATCTAATAGGTATGCTATCCAGTAGGTTGGTTTCTTCCTCTGCCCATCCTGGATGGTACTCAATTTACATCTTTATATTCAGCTGGTGGAGATAAATACTGTATCTACTTCCTAATGCATAATTATGTTCATGCTTTGAAGATTAAGGTCTTTCTGATGGGATGAACAAATGGTGGAATGAATTTTTACAATGATTCTCACTGAGGATTTGTATTGTACCTGGTTATTGATTGAGTTGTTGGTGTTCACACCAGAGCTCCAGGTTTTCCTGATAGCTCTTCTTGATTGACAGCAGTAATGGGCTCCACTTCACCATCTGTGACTGCCAGAGTTCCCTGCTGGACCTAGTGCAGTGTCTTTGTGGACTCTATGGTTCAAAAGATCCAGGAGTGTACAACCCATGTTCCCTCTAGGAACAAAGATGTGGAGTTCTCTTGGTGCTTCGAAAATATTGAGATTAAGGCTGACATAAAGAGCTCTCCACAGTAGACTTTTGCCAGTGACTTTTTTGGCCCTTTTAGTAGAAAAGTGGCAATCCCAGTAGGCTCTACAAATAGCCAACAAGTTTCAAGAATAATCACTTTGAGAGAATTCTCTCAGTTGAAGACATGACATACAAGCCTCACCCATACATACCTGCTTAGCAAAGATTTTGACCCATTCTGTAAGTTAAACAAAATGTAGGTTATGGCATTTTATTGTGAAGACAATTTGTCCACCAGGGACTTTCATCAATTTGATAAAGTCCCTGGTGGATGGAGTGTCTACAATAAAATACCATAATCTGCATTTTGTGTCTTTTTACATATTGTTGGTTTAGTCTACCATTGTATTACCATTGCCCCCTTCTCACCAATTTGTGGCCGTGCGCCCTCAGCTTCTGTGGTTCAAAATTTGGTATGGTTAGTTATCACCTGGCTCTGCTGAGGCTTCAGTGAACCTTTAGGTTACTCTTATAATGTGAGACACTTGATTATTTTATAATAGATGTGCAAGTTTTCAACCTTTTATGAATATATTTATTATATTGGGTGGGTATTTTTACTTGTATTTTAGTTTGAGTGCATGTTGTTGATGTGTGAGCCATTTATATTCTACTCAGTGCTAAATAATTGCTTGGTTTAAGCACTATTTAGATCTCAAATTTTTTCTTCCTCATTACATTATATGATAATAGAGTAGTTTTCATTTTACAAGTCCTGAAGGTGGGAAGTACAATGCCTGCACTTTAAAGGAGGGGTTTGGGATATTGGATGTTTGGAGTGACAGCTGAACTGTCGTATCCGAGTGCCTCTGCAAAAACAGTGATAATGTGTAAATGATGGTGAAAATATTGAATGATGGTGAGTTTATTTTTTGGGTAACCCTGCCTCAGTGGGAGATGGTTGACCTGTTGAAAAGAAAAAATGATCACATACAGCAGGCATGTGTGAGCATAATAGATAGGAGTGAATGGAGACGAATGGTTTTTGGGACTTGATGAGCTGTTGGGGGTGTGAGCAAGGGGCTTGATGAGCTGTTGGAGTCTGAGCAGGATAATTTGTGAAGGGATTCAGGAAAAACCAGTTAGCTGGACTTGAGGCCTGGAGGTGGGAAGCACAATGCCTGCACTTTAACCCTTAAACCGTCCAAACAGATCTATTATTCACATGCGTAGTGCTCCAAACGTAGATCTATGTTTTTTTTACATTTTCAAATATAACAAAAAAAACATAGATCAAAGTTTTTTACACATTTTCAAATGTAAAAAAAAAGTCTACGTTTTTTTACATACTTTCAAATGTTGAAAAAAGTAGATCTACGTTTGGACAGTTTAGGGTTAAAGGAGGGGATTGGGATATTTGCTGTTTGGGTGACATCTGAGCTGTCATATCTGCATGCCTCTGCAAAGACAGTGATTATATGTGAATGATGGTGAAAGTATAAGAACATAAGAAAGGAGGAACACTGCAGCAGGCCTGTTGGCCCATACTAGGCAGGTCCTTTACAATTCATCCCACTAACAAGCATTTGACCAACCCAATTTTCAATGCTACCCAAGAAATAAGCTCTGATGTGCAAGTCCCACTCAAATCCAACCCCTCCCACTCATGTACTTATCCAACCTAAATTTGAAACTACCCAAAGTCCTAGCCTCAATAACCCAACTAGGTAGACTGTTCCACTCATCAACTACCCTATTTCCAAACCAATACTTTCCTATGTCCTTTCTAAATCTAAACTTATCTAATTTAAATCCATTACTGCGGGTTCTCTCTTGGAGAGATATCCTCAAGACCTTGTTAATATCCCCTTTATTAATACCTATCTTCCACTTATACACTTCGATCAGGTCTCCCCTCATTCTTCGTCTAACAAGTGAATGTAACTTAAAAGTCTTCAATCTTTCTTCATAAGGAAGATTTCTAATGCTATGTATCAATTTAGTCATCCTACCTGAATGTTTTATAACGAATTTATGTCCATTCTGTAATATGGAGACCAGAATTGAGCTGCATAATCTAGGTGAGGCCTTACTAATGATGTATAAAGCTGCAGTATGACCTCTGGACTTCTGTTGCTTACACTTCTTGATATAAATCCCAGTAATCTATTTGCCTTATTACGTACGCTTAGGCATTGCTGTCTTGGTTTAAGGTTGCTGCTTACCATAACCCCCAAGTCCTTTTCGCAATCTGTATGGCTAAGTTCTACATTATTTAACTTATAAGTGCTAGGGTTATGGACACTCCCAAGCTTCAGAACCTTGCATTTATCTACATTGAACTGCATCTGCCACTTTTCTGACCAAGAATAGAGTTTGTCTAAATCCTCCTGAAGTTCCCTAACATCTACGTTTGAATCAATTATCCTACCTATCTTCGTGTCATTGGCGAATTTGCTCATATCACTAGTAATTCCTTCATCAAGATCATTGATATATATTATAAACAACAACGGGCCCAAGACTGATCCCTGTGGAGCGCCACTTGTTACTGATCCCCACTCGGATTTAACCCCATTTATAGACACTCTTTGCTTCCTGTCTGTGAGCCATGATTCGATCCAAGAGAGCACCCTTCCCCCAATGCCATGAGCTGCTACTTTCTTCAACAGTCTTTGGTGCGGAACTCTATCAAATGCCTTACTAAAATCTAAGTAAATAATATCAAATTCTTTATCGTGGTCAACAGCCTCGGAAGCTTTACTGAAGAAAGTTATTAAATTTCTTTTTTGGGTCACCCTGCCTCAGTGGGAGATGACCAGAGTGTTAAAAAAAGAACGATCATAGTACAGTTCTATACATGCATTAAAAAATAATGAGTAAGATATGATTAGGAACAAGATATTGTCTGATTCTTTCTTATTTTTTCATGAAAAAAATTTCTGGCATCCCAGAGGCAGACTCGATATAGTCTTAGTGTTGACTATTCTTTTGAAAGTTACAGCACTTCATTAAAATAATTTGCTTGGAAATTGATATCTTTTATTCATACTACATGAGTGTAGAACTGTCCAAAACACTGAGATTACATTAGAGTAATAAAATTCAGAAATTTTCCAGTATTAGTTTGTTTTTCTTTACCTTCTCACATTGCTCCTCCTCCTCTAGGCCTTTCTTTCTAATATTTTGTTCTGGAATTTCAGCCCCGGGAACCCAGCAGTACCAAGAGGAACGCTTCCTCTCTCAAGTGTTGATGGCAATGGCTTTACTTTTTCTCCTCTGGCTTATTCTTGTATAAGGGATGAGTAAATAGTGATTCAGAAGCAAAGACCAAAATTTAGGTATTTAACATCATTGAGGCTTGTGCTGTTTCAAATTACCTTTTTCTTGATTTTTTGTATACAAACTTTTTCAGAGTTGGAAGTTAAATGTGTTTTTCTTTTATTTGAAATTTTGTGGTTGTTTAAGGGCATTTTGCAAGCACCCTGTGTGAATTGACAACATATTACCCCAGTGACTTTAAAATAGATGGGTACAACTATTTGTTTATTATTTTGTGTAATATCTCTGTAAAGTTTTATGTTACAGGGTTGAAATTTTAAGAGTAATTCTCAAGTGATAACCAAGAAAATATGTAATCTTAATACTTTTTGGATTAAGCTGCTTTACAGAAATTTACTTTTTGATTCACCGTGAAAAGGAACCGTGTGTTTGTTCTCGGTGAGTTCTGGGTTTCCAGGGATTACCGTGATCTGTTTCTTGTGGCCTTTGTTATTTTATAATGGGCAGCTCCATTTAATTGGTAGAACAGTAGTTTATTCTCATTTGGTGGCTAGGTGAAATAGCAGACAAACGGGATGTTGTATTTGCAGCCACTGTAGCCATTCACAGACAGGAGGATATTCATCATTCTTCGAACACATCTCACCAAGAAAGATAGGCATTTGAATTTGTGAGGTTTCACAAACATCACATATTCTGGTTAATACCACTACATGTATAAAAACTTAAATATTAATTTTTTCCAATACTGAAAAAGACACAGAGCAGTATTTAATTGTTCGTTTGAGAGGATCACTCCTGTATTTATGAAAAATGAATACTGTTACCCAAAATCATAAATGTTAAGAATCACTCAGGGATGAAGAACTAGTGGATCAGCGGTTACTCTTATGTTACCTTGTAATGAAGCATAACAATGTAAAATTTGTACCTTTCTGATATACTACATTCGTACTTCTTACAACAAAAAATTGCGTTGTGCTTCTTTTTTGAGACATTGTGAAATTTTGTTTTATATAAAAAGGGAAAACAAAGAAAGAGCTTTTCATCTATATTCATATCAGTAATTAGTTAGGATATATTTGTAAGTAGATTGAATATTATTGCCATAGCCTCCAACTTGACTTGGAGAATCCGGTATATGTTTGGGTGATTGGTCGTGCCAGCAACTTAAGACATATTTAACTTGTAATTGTAAAACGAGAATTTATTTTTGTAATTGAATTGAGGGTGACATTGAGTTCCTCTTCAAAAGTATTACTGCATCAGTACTTTTCAATGTAGGAGATATGATTTATGTTGTCATTAATTATTGAGAACGTCTAATAATTTATTAATAATTCTGTATGCCAAGTTGCCCTATCAAGGTTGCAAATGGCAAATTTGTTAAGATTACTTGTTTAATGCTGCCTTCTTATTTATACTATAAATTTAACTGTTACTCCATAGTCAACCTTTCATATAATTATGAATATAATGGATTATTTGTATGCAGTTTTACGAAAGTAATTCCTGATTTATTACTCCAGTGTTATAAAGCATTCCTTTACCTTATGTATAGAATACTGTACAAATTAAACTCCTGCTTCCAAAAATTCTTCTCTTCCTCCTGACAGTTATGTATAAAACTTTGTATATTATTTTGCCATAGTCATATAATCCATATATTAGTCTGTATTACAGGGGAATGAGGTTGGTTACCCTCTTACAAAAAGTATGGACGACGTTATCTACAGTATATTATTCTCAAAATAAGGTAAAATAAAGAAAATTTGAATATTTTCTACAGTTGACTACTTGAGCCCTAGTTTTATGACATTGGTGAATCAGCATTTATGTTTTCTACATTACTCTCCAGGACCTTGCAGTGTATAATTACACAACAAATACATGTATGGTGGGGCTTTTGAACAGTGAAATATCCATAAAAAAGTAGCTTTTAATTGTATGTGTGATCAGATTTCTAGCGTAGTTAACTTTATACCGTACCCTACTTTCTTCCAGTCATTTTGTAGACTTCTCTTATCTAAGAAATCATTATATTTTCTAAATGAACAATATATGCCTATGCAACTTCAATTTCCACACAATTAGCCAAGCAAAGATGTTGAGTATCAAATCTTTCCTCAGCTTGTAGAGGAGGTAGGAGATTCTCTTATAAAACTAAATATTGTTTAGGAGATACCACAGTTTTGTAACCCTCAGCTCTTATCTCCTGTACAGTTTTTCCTCATGATCTTGGTAAAGCTTGCAAGTTTCTAGGGAATTTGCTCTTATCTGATAATGAGAGAAGAAAAAGATTTGCCACAGTAAGTGATATTTTCCTGGACAGTTTTGTTGCTTTTCCCAATAAATAGACATTCCATTAATGAAGATCTTTATTTTATCTCTTGCTTTTTTTATTTTATATTTATTTGTCAAAAACTTAGTTTTTTATTCAACATCTCAGAAGCTGTTTATACCCAAGAATGTATTATAGAGTTAATATAGTTCATAGCAGCATAAACTGGAGTGTAGTTCACTAATACTCACAAAGAGGAAGCTACCACTCTTTCTCCCCCAATCTTTATTTTATGTTGGGTTCATTATTTCCATGAATGTATAACCAGTGTAATATGATTTAGTTATGGACTTTAATAATATTTTTGTATTATATTATTTGAATGGAAATACTGTACAATATATTAATAATATTTATTTCTTTATAAAAAATATTTTTTGTTAATCACTTAGGAGTTTGAGGTAAAAATGTAGATATGATATGTTTTACATAGTTTGTAAATGACAGTTATATCCAGTGTGTATATGTATATATGTTAACAATGTGTGTTCATTACTTAAGATGAAGTAACTTGATACCATGGCAGACTGTTTGTAAAATTTCTTGTTATTTTTCACTTACACCTTCAGGAGCTTAATTCAGTGTGTACAGTAAAATGCCACAGGTCACTTTGTCACAGTACATACTGCACAGTTTCCTAGGAGCCTTTTATCTTTTACCTAATAAATAGCTGTGCATCTTCTGAGCTTGGCATATCTGTATAAATTTGGGCATTTTTTTATCATTAAACCTCTATAAATATGTAGCAGTTTCACATTTGGGCTTGCTTGTCATTCACATCTCTATCCCTGAATCATTTTGCTTCAAAAACCCTCTTGTTTAATTTTTTGCAGTATACCTCCCATTTGACCAAGAGCTTAAAAATTGCTGTTCTCATCACAGGACTGATTCATTGCCATCATATTTGTAAAATCACAAGAAGTTGACTGTTCAGCTTATAATTCATAAGAGAGCTGTTGCAGTATGCATGATTTTTCTATCGCTTACTTGTTTCTTAAGTTATATTTTTAATTGGAGAAGTGCTAAACCTGTCAGGGTCATATAGCACCTGGGAAATGAGAGGCAGTCAGAAAAGAAGGAATATAAATATATAAATTCAAGGATTATGTGGATTAAAATAAGGGTTGGATGCAAAAAGTGGATTATAGTAAGTTTATGCACCTGGAGAAGAGAATAGTGTAGAGGAGAGAAAGATAGGCTTTGGGAAATGTTAAGTGAGTGTTTAAGGAGTTTTGAACCAAGTGAGAGAGTAATTGTGGTGGGGGACCTAAATACTGGGAAAAACTGTTGTAGAGGGCATAGTAGGTAAATTTGGGGTACCAAGGGTAAATGAAAATGAGGGGCCTTTGATTGAATTTTGTATAGAAAGAGGTTTGGTAATAGATAATACATATTTTAAGAAAAAGAGGATAAATAAATATATGAGATATGCTATAGGGCATAATGACAACAGTTTGTTGGACTTTGTATTGGTGGATTAAAGGTTGATGGGTAAACTTCTGGATGTGCAAGATGTGGATGTACAACACACTTTTATGGGTGTGAAGCATGGGTTGTGAATATTACATGGAGAAGGAAACTGGAGACAGTGGAGACATCATGTCTAAGGACAATGTGTGGTGTAAATTTTATGCAGAGAATTCATAGCTTGGAGATTAGGACAAGATGTGAGGTTATTAAGAATATTATCCAGAGGGATAAGGGGTCAAAATAGGGTGATTTGGAGGGTGTATAAATCTAGTGGAGGGAAGTGGGATAAGGGTCGCCCTAGGAAAAGTTGGAGGGATATTGCAATTGTTTTGTGTCTTATACAAGCAGGGATGAATCGTACTCTTTGGAGGCAACGTGTAGTTTTATTGTCTTCTTAACTTAAACACACAGGCAGTGTGTTTAAGTTGCCCAGGCCCTGAGTGCCATGCCCGGGAGAGAGTGATGTTGGCTGTTGGAATGAGACAGGGCAAGTGTTGTGTGGGCTGAGATTGGTAGGTCTATGCAGCTAGGTGTCAGCACCATAGTGCTGTGAAATATAAACCCAACAGGGCTTACATCACTCGGCCACCTACCCATGGTCATCCTTGACCATGATTGACTGAAGAAAAACTCAGTCTCTCTCAGGAACAGGGCACAGAACACAGAATAAAAAACATATATATATACATGTGGACATGGACAAAACAAAGCTTCCAACAGGAAGGGAAGAAAAAAAACAGAAGGGTGTGTTAAACATCGTGGTCCAAGGCAATGAGCCTCGGGGGGCGTCACTGCACGCCTTCCTGCGTCTGGACAGATATTGCAACAAGAGACATCAATGTGGCTGAGCTGTGACATAATGGGGTACAGTCTCTTCTGGAATGGTGAAGCACTCATCATGGAGTAGTCATTGCAGGGTTCATTCAACCTGGGGCACAATCTGCTGGTGCCCTCAAGTGAGGCGTCACTGCTACTCGGCAACTGGGTAGGACTTCTGGCAAGTGACACAGGACATTTCTTGACTCGTACTGTCACTGCTGGCAAGAGTGGAGTGAGTCGTAAGAGGGACAACTCAGGCGAAACATCTGAGAGTCGTAGAAGCATACACCGTAACTGGAGTGAGCGGGCTAGTAATCAAAGTGACATCATACTTTGTGCAGGCTGCTCACTGAAGCTGTGACACGAGTCAGTCGCCTGCCAACAGGGCTACTGCGGCTTGACAATGTCATCCTCTCGACAGCTGGAGTCAGAGCAGGAGTTAGTCTAAGCGTCCTCAAACTGGTTTTCTACACTCTGATGGTCAGGAGGTGGAGTGAAACAAGTCTCAACGGGGAATCGTAGCAAGCATAAGAACTTTCTGTACATGAGGGCTCAGATACTAGTAATCTGATGCCTGGACTGACTAGTGTCAGTTGTCAAACGGTCACAATGCTGTGACATGTAACACAAGGGTGTTATCAATGGTCTGGGCTCAGACCACACTGGTCTACACACACATCTGGGCTCAAACTGCACATCGGGACATACAGAAAACTGCACACACCTGCACTACACATGTGGTTACTGCATGGCTTGCGCTAGCAAAAGATGCTTTTCTGTGCAAAAATCAACACGAAGGATTCACGAACATATGAGAACATTAGTAAGGAACACTGACTGAGAGGAATTAACACGTGACATATATCTCTCAATTGTTTTCGACAATACTGCAACAAATTGCTCACTGTGAAACTATAACACTGTCGATGTGACATCATGTGATGTCATGCATGATGTCATGAGGGATGCCATGGAGTGAAATCGCGAGTTGACAGGGCAGACATCCAGGGTGATGTTGGCAGCATGGTGATGCCAGGCAGACGTCATGGGTGACGTCAGGCAACGTCGTGGGTGACGTCGATCAGCGTCGTGGGTGACGTCGGGCAGACGTCCAGGGTGACATTAGGCAGCATAGTGACGTCAGGCAATGTTCTGGAGTGATGTCAGGCAGAAGTCCTGGGTGACATCAGGCAGACGTCCTGGGTGACGTTGGGCAGATATCCTGGATGACATCACGAGGTGATGCCAGTCAGCAGACAACAGCATGTGGCTTTGGACATCTTGTTTGGTAACCCATATGGCTCGCTCCACATGACTTGTAGATCCACGTGGCCTTATCCACATGTGGCTTCGTGATGCATGTGGCTTTGAGTAACTTCAGGCACTCATATACAGCTCTGGCAAAGAATTCACACGAAATTCATAAACAGCAAAGTGAAAACATTACATAAGAACATAAGAAAGGAGGAACACTGCAGCAGGCCTGTTGGCCCATACTAGGCAGGTCCTTACAATTCATCCCACTAACAAACATTTGACCAACCCAATTTTCAATGCTACCCAAGAAATAAGCTCTGATGTGCAAGTCCCACTCAAATTCAACCCCTCCCACTCATGTACTTATCCAACCTAAATTTGAAACTACCCAAAGTCCTAGCCTCAATAACCCAACTAGGTAGACTGTTCCACTCATCAACTACCCTATTTCCAAACCAATACTTTCCTATGTCCTTTCTAAATCTAAACTTATCTAATTTAAATCCATTACTGCGGGTTCTCTCTTGGAGAGATATTCTCAAGACCTTGTTAATATCCCCTTTATTAATACCTATCCTTCACTTATACACTTCGATCAGGTCTCCCCTCATTCTTCGTCTAACAAGTGAATGTAACTTAAGAGTCTTCAATCTTTCTTCATAAGGAGGATTTCTAATGCTATGTATTAATTTAGTCATCCTACGCTGAATGTTTTCTAACGAATTTATGTCCATTCTGTAATATGGAGACCAGAATTGAGCTGCATAATCTAGGTGAGGCCTTACTAATGATGTATAAAGCTGCAGTATGACCTCTGGACTTCTGTTGCTTACACTTCTTGATATAAATCCCAGTAATCTATTTGCCTTATTACGTACGCTTAGGCATTGCTGTCTTGGTTTAAGGTTGCTGCTTACCATAACCCCCAAGTCCTTTTCGCAGTCTGTATGGCTAAGTTCTACATTATTTAACTTATAAGTGCTAGGGTTATGGACACTCCCGAGCTTCCATTTATCTACATTGAACTGCATCTGCCACTTTTCTGACCAAGAGTAGAGTTTGTCTAAATCCTCCTGAAGTTCCCTAACATCTACGTTTGAATCAATTATCCTACCTACCTTCGTGTCATCGGCAAATTTGCTCATATCACTAGTAATTCCTTCATCAAGATCATTGATATATATTATAAACAACAACAGGCCCAAGACTGATCCCTGTGGAACGCCACTTGTTACTGATCCCCACTCGGATTTAACCCCATTTATTGACACTCTTTGCTTCCTGTCTGTGAACCATGATTCGATCCACGAGAGCACCCTTCCCCCAATGCCATGAGCTGCTACTTTCTTCAACAGTCTTTGGTGCGGAACTCTATCAAATGCCTTACTAAAATCTAAGTAAATAATATCAAATTCTTTATCGTGGTCAACAGCCTCAAAAGCTTTACTGAAGAAAGTTAATAAATTAGTTAGACAAGACCGGCCTCTTGTGAATCCATGCTGAGTATCATTAATCAAGCTATGCTTATCGAGATGGCTTCTTATAATCTGAGCTATAATTGACTCTAGTAATTTGCCTACAATTGAGGTCAGGCTTATTGGGCGGTAATTTGATGGTGACGACTTGTCCCCTGTTTTAAAAATAGGAATTACATTAGCCATCTTCCACATATCAGACACTACACCTGTTTGAAGAGATAAATTAAAAATATTAGTTAATGGTTCACAGACTTCCATTTTGCATTCCTTAAGAACCCTTGAAAAAATCTCATCAGGACCCGGTGACTTATTTTGCTTCAGTCGGTCTATCTGCTTCACAACCATTTCACTAGTGACTGTGATGTTACATAATTTATCTTCTTCTGGCCCACTATAAAAATTAATTACCGGAATATTGTTAGTGTCTTCCTGTGTAAAAACCGAGAGAAAATAATTATTTAAAATCGAGCACGTTTCATTCTCTTTGTCAGTAAGATGCCCATAGTTATTTTTAAGAGGACCTATCTTATCTCTGACTTTTGTTCTATATACCTGGAAAAAGCTTTTTGGGTTTTAGAATCCCTAGCAACTTTAATTTCATAGTCCCTTTTAGCTTTTCTTATCCCCTTTTTAATGTCCCTCTTAATGTCAATATACTGATTCATAAGATGACCCTCGCCTCTTTTGATACGCCTATAAATTCCTTTCTTATGCCCTATTAGATATTTCAGCCTATTATTCATCCATTTTGGGTCATTTCTATTTGATCTAATTTCTTTATAAGGGATAAACGTTCTTTGAGCAGCATGTATAGTGTTCAGAAAACTGTCATATTGATAGCTCTCTTCGTTACCCCAGTCAACAGATAAGTGTTCTCTAAGCCCATCGTAATCTGCTAAGCGAAAATCTGGGACTGTTACTGAGTTATCCCTACTATCATACTTCCATTCAATGCTAAATGTAATTGATTTGTGGTCGCTAGCACCCAGTTCCTCTGAAACTTCTAAATTGTTAACAAGGGATTCATTGTTTGCCAGAACTAAGTCAAGCAGGTTATTACCCCTTGTAGGTTCAGTCACAAACTGCTTCAAAAAACAATCCTGAACTACTTCTAAGAAGTCGTATGATTCTAAATTCCCAGTCAAGAAATTCCAATCAATATGACTAAAGTTAAAGTCTCCTAGAATTACTACATTATCGTGCCTTGTGACCCTAACAATTTCCTCCCATAGTAGTCTCCCCTGGTCCCTATCTAAATTTGGGGGACAGTATATCACACCTAAAATTAATTTTTCATGCTCCTCTGAAAATTCTATCCAAACAGACTCTGTATGTGTTACTTCAGACTTAATACCCATTTTTATGCAACAGTTCAAGCGATCTCGGACATACAATGCCACCCCACCCCCCTTCCCGACACTTCTATCTACTTGGAACAATTTAAAACCCTGAATGTGACATTCTGCAGGCATGTCCCGACTTTTTGAATTAAACCACGTCTCAGTAATGGCAAATACATCAATGTTACCTGCACTAGCATCTAGTCTCAACTCGTCCATCTTATTCCTAGCACTGCGACTATTTATGTAATAAATATTTAAAGACCCTCCGTTCTCTTTACCCTTCCTGCTCCTTTCTGTTATTCCACTAAACCTATTACTGTCCTTGTCAGTTAGTGCCACTGGCTTTCCAATATCCACCTCATTTTGCCTATTACTAGTTCTCCTAGTACTCATATTACTACCCTGCGACTTCACAGTTTTCCCGCCAAAACCCATACCACTAACTATTCCTAGTTTAAAGACCTAACAGCTCCCTCCACTGCGTTGGCCAGTGCTCCCACCCCACACCTAGATAAGTGAACCCCATCCCTGGCATACATGTCATTTCTGCCATAGAAGAGGTCCCAGTTGTCAATGAATGTTACTGCATTTTCCTTACAGTATTTGTCCAGCCAGCAATTGACACCAATTGCTCTGGAAAACCATTCATTTCCAACTCCTCTCCTTGGCAAAATGCCACATATGACAGGTTTCCCACCCTTCCTCCTAATTATCTCTATTGCTGACCTATACGTGCTAATCAGGTCCTCACCCCTACATCTGCCAACATCGTTGCCTCCAGCATTGAGACAGATAATAGGATTGCTCCCATTACCTCTCATGATGTCATCCAGACGGCTAACAATATCCTTCATCCCAGTCCCAGGAAAACACACTCTCTGCCTCCTACTCCTATCCTTCAAGCAGAATGCCCTATCCATGTACCTAACTTGGCTATCCCCAACAACAACAATGTTTTTACCTTCCTTGGCGTTGTCCTTCGTGATGCTCCCAGTATTCGACTCACATTCGTCAGGTAGCATTACACCACTTGTGGAATTCGTCAAGACGTTCTCGATGGTCTTCGTTGGGGTTTCTAGGGATGTCTCACTCACGTCTGCCAATGCTTCCTTGGTGCTCATTGTGGCATTCCCAGTAGAACACTCACATTCGTCAGAGAATGGGTTGGAAGTTTCCACGGTAGTCTTCTGGTTTCTCGTTGTTTCTGCCTCTCCAACAGTTTTCTTGATCCTCAGCTTGGTTCCATGTTGCCCGGCCACTGACCAAGCTCCCCTCTTAACCTGGGGACTCACAACAGGAGGATTACTACGAATCCTCTTGTTCTCCTCCGTTAATCGCCGTATCTCCAGCTTAGCAACTCCGAGCTGCAGATTCTGAGTGCACGCAGGAAGAAGCCTTGTGGAACGCCACTAGTGACTAATCCCCATTCAGAGGGCATCCTGGTTGGGATTCACAGAGAGCACACAAATAAGTCTTCACAGAGCTAAGTACACGACAGAGCTAAGTACACCAACAGAGCTAAGTACACCAGTGGTAGTAGCAGTGTGGTAGCAGGTGGTAGCAGTGTGGGTGGCGTGAGGTGAGGTGTGTATGGTGGAGCCAGGATCGCCACGCCTACCCTCCTCATACATACACGTGTGGAAGGCAGTGCAGATTCTACCAACTGGACGCAGAATACACCACAAACTCACCTCTGACTTGCTGAAATAGCCGTTCCAAGCTGAAAACAACAGCATAAACGTACAGGTGATGGTGAGGATGTGACTGAAGAGCAGCATGGGATGCTGTGAAGGTCCAGGTGATGCCACGAAGATTTCTCGAGGAAAATTCGGCAAATTTCGACCTGAGTCCTGCTGATCCTGTGTCTGAATATTGAAACTTGCAGACACAACTTTAGAGGGATGGATGCTTCTTGTATGGGGCGATGAAATGGACACATCTTCGTTCCTTCCTCTAGGCAGCACAACTGCTGGGACCACCGCTAAGCCACCAGTAAAGCAATTGTTTTGTACCCTGTTCAAGCGGGGATGATACTCTTCAGAGGTAACGTGTAGTGTGTTTAAGTTCCCCAGGCCCTGAGGGCCATGCCCTGGAGAGAGTGACAGAGTAGACTTTGCCTGAGTGACTTAGGTTGCCAAAATGAGCCAGGGTAAGCTTGGTGCAGGCTAAGATTGGTAGGCCTATGCCAGTAAGTGCCACCACCATAGTGCTGCGAAATATGAACCCAACTGGGCATACAGGGAGAGGCAAAGAAGGTTTTATGTGCGAGGGGCTTGGATATCCAGCAGGCATGTGTGAGCATGTTAGATAGTGAATGGAGGCATATGGTTTAGGGAAGTTGACACACACACACACGTACGTACGTACGTAGGGGCAGGAGCTATAACAAATGGATGAGTAAACAAGCTTTTGTTAAGTTATTTGTGTGTGAGTGATGAAGGTGCTGTACTTATTCACTTGTTCAAGTGTAGAACTTTTAACCCACAACTGCACAGTAGCAGCTGTATAATGAGAGCATGTGGTACATAGTGGCAAGTTTACTCATATCAGACTTTTAAAGAAGTGATGGGAAGTTGAGACATTAAATTACAGAATTGTCATTCTGACAGATAATAAACTAAGAAAAAATATTATAAAGCAGGATTGGGTTATAAAGAATGAAACCTGCACTAAAATTTGTTGATGAGCTGTAAGTTGTCAGTACTGGTTGGTGGACTACATGGACCACGTGGAAGTCCACCAACCAGTGTCAGTACTGGTTAGTGGACTACATGGACCACGTGGAAGTCCACCAACCAGTGTCAGTACTGGTTAGTGGACTACATGGACTAGCACTTATTGAAGCTTGAATGCTAGTCAGGTATATGTAATTTAAAGGGAACATGAGAGAGAATTTTATTGATCAAATGGCAGAATGATACCTAATTGTGTAACTGAACAGATGGTTATTATATTTACAAATAAACACTTATTCTGTTTGGGCCATATGGATAAAAATGAATTACCTTACCATAAACCTTAGCCATATGAGATTTGAATAATAAAAAATTAATCTTTGTACCCTTTTAGACTAATTGTGAATGAGATGTGTATTATACAATGCTACACAAAAGAAAAAAATATTTCTCTAGTATAAAGCTTATCAACTTTCCCAGAGTTTAGCACTTCCTGACAATATTGTGATTAAAATTCTAAGTCTGCAGTCATTTAATGCAAAAAGTAATTCTGGTGCACAGCTGTGTTGCTAACACATGTGACAATTCTGTTTGTAGCCTTACATTATTGTTATCATTTGCTGTCTTACCTGGTCCTTATATTATGATGAACGAATTGTTCCATTTGCATACGGGAATGTGCTTTTTGTTCTCGAAACTGTCTTAATCTTTCCCAAGTTTGTGATGTTGCTTTCCTCAAGTTCTAATAATACTCCTTTGTGGTTTTTATTATATGATTCTATATAGTTTGGTTATTTCTGAACAATATACAGTTATTATATTAATTATGCTGTATTTGCTATTTTCAGGGCTTCTCATTTTACAATTCTTATTGCTAAGACTGAACTTAATAATGGCATTGGTACTCAAAAGAATTATATTTTTTGCATCATATTGCACTCACACTACAACTTTATGCTTGGTCATTATTTGGTATGAAATAATTATAGTGCTTTTATGTCTGGTGCAGAAAGCATTTGCTGTGAGGTATTTCACTTGTGTTTAAACTAATATAACCCATATGCCTTCTCCTTTTTTTTTCTCTTAGGTAATTTTTGCAAACTTCATTTACTTAAAATATCATGAACACTTTTTGGAATGAAATTCATGTGATCTATATATAGACCATACAGGTATTTGCTGTGTATGTGTTGAATGTTCATATGTTAAATGTAAATATAGTAGTATAATAAATAAAGAATGTACTTTTACAAGAGTTTTAATATCAAGTTGTTTCTAAAATAATATCAGAAGAATAAATTTACCATCTAATTAGAAAACTAATACTGAATGACCCATTTGGGTTTGGCACTTTTGACCTGGAGGTGGGAAGTACAGTTGAGGCAGCCTGAAGGAGACGTGAGGAAGTTGTCATTTGAAGTGATATCGGCACACTTAAAGAAAGACATTGAATGGTCCTCTCCATGCAGTGACCTGGCATCTATACATCCTCTCCTTCAATTCCTTCGGTTGAGCCTGAATGCCCTCCATTCACCTAGATGTTGTATGATCCATGTGCGTTTAGCTCCCTCCCTATGAATTCAGTAATAATGAAGCTACATCTCTTGGATCGCACAGTGCCCAAAACATATCAAGTTAGTTAAACTTACCATTGTAGTCTTGACATAAACCTGAACAAACATCCAAATTTTCTCAAGCAGACCTGGGCATCAGGATCACCATGAGGCACACATTTACAGGTTTAGTGCTTCCTCATAATAATATAAAGAAGCTAAGCTCCACTTTATAAAGTGAGCATCATTATCACTTCATGCAGTGTATCATTGTCACACTTCACAAAGTGTGAGTGTCATTGTCACACTTCACAAAGTGTGAGCGTAACTGTCACACTTCACAAGGAATGTAATTCAAACACTCAGGAAAATAATTTGATACTTAAATTCATGAACAGTTTTACTGAAGCTAAGTTATGCATTATTCATTTAACACACAACTATATTACTGATTACACTTGATTATTTAATTGCAATACAATTTTGAAAAAGAAAGAAACCAGACTTGCTATAAAAAAATGTATCCTATTATTTCTTAACGTTTTAAGCTGGAGGTCATGACAAGTCTACTGGTAGTCTATTATAAAATCTTAGACACTGCTAGAAGGGAAAAGTTTCATGACTACTGTAAGAGACCTGATTTCAAAATACTCTACTGTGAGACCAATCTTACTACACTATTATACACAACCTTGTAAGTGGTCCAAGTCAGACCGAAACGTCGTGATAAGATCCTCTCTCCTGTGTGTGGGTTATTTGTGTATTCTAGTAACGGTATTGTGCCTCTTTGTTCTTTACACTATTTGCATGTCACTTGTACAGGAGTTTGGTCTTGGTCAACAGCGACCGGTGTTACATTGCTTACTTTGACACCCTCTCCCAGACATTAAATGACTGAATCTTAAAACATTCTCTGCTGTGAAACAGACCTTGATGCCAGTGAGGGGCTCTTGATCCAAGAAATTGGACTGATCCTCTCCTTCCTTAGACTGAACCTGATTACCTCCCAATGCCCTTATACTGTGCAACCCCCATGGGCTTAATGCTACCCCCCCAATCATAGCAAAATGTAAAAGTGAAAACAATCCAGTCTTAATGCACTACTTTATTACCCTTATAGGTTTAGTGCTCCCCATGAATGTAATAAACATTGCACTTTTCTGCGAGAGACCAACTTTGAGATAATCTCTTCCACCAGACCATCCTTGAGATAATCTCTTCTATAAGAAACCAGGAGAAAGATAATCTGTGAGATATCAGTCTTAAGATGAGCACCTGGAGGAATGGAAGATATGCAGACTGGATCCAAGGAAGGGGAAGGAGAGGTTCAGTTCCTTGGATCAAGATCCCCTCACCGGCATCAAGGCGCTTCCCTTGAGGGGATGACACGGTTTCAACTCAGTCGTAGTGTCTGTCTGTGTGTGTGTGTGTGTGTTATATATTATATATATATATATAATATATATATATATATATATATATATATATATATATATATATATATATATATATATTATACACCGTGGGGTATATGTCTTTCAGTGTATACATGAGTGTACATTATTAACTTCAATATATTAAGGAATTCCTGACTGGTGGTATGCATGCGACATGCAGCCTTCATGACCCAGTGTAGTCATTAGCTTCAAGTCCCATTAACCAACCAACCTGCACGCTGAACACATCGCTGAAGAGTGGAGCGCCAGTCTACCAATAGAGCTCAGTCTTGAGTCGCCATGAACACCAAGCTGCTGATTCATTCTACGAAGCTTTTTATCCATCTCAAATCCTTCTTTTCGGGGAAACAATAACTGAGGCCTCAGGCCAGTCTATCGATGCTGAAGCAAGTTTGGTGATGCTGAGGCCAGTCTGGTGATGCTGAGGCCAGTCTGGCGATGCTGAGGCCAGTCTGGCGATGCTGAAGCCAGTCTGGTGATGCAGAGGCCAGTCTGGCGATGCTGAAAACAGTCTGGCGATGCTGAGGCCAGTCTGGTGATGCTGAGGCCAGTCTGGCGATGCTGAGGCCAGTCTGGCGATGCTGAGGCCAGTCTGGTGATGCTGAGACCAGTCTGGCGACGCTGAGGCCAGTCTGGCGATGCTGAGGCCAGTCTGGCGATGCTGAGGCCAGTCTGGCGATGCTGAGCCAGTCTGGCGATGCTGAGGCCAGTCTAGTGATGCTGAGGCCAGTCTGGCGATGCTGAGGCCAGTCTGGCGATGCTGAGGCCAGTCTGGTGATGCTGAGGCCAGTATGGCGACGCTGAGGCCAGTCTGGCAATGCTGAGGCCAGTCTGGCGATGCTGAGGCCAGTCTGGCGATGCTGAGGCCAGTCTGGCGATGCTGAGGCCAGTCTGGCAATGCTGAGGCCAGTCTGGCGATGCTGAGGCCAGTCTAGTGATGCTGAGGCCAGTCTGGCGATGCTGAGGCCAGTCTGGCGATGCTGAGGCCAGTCTGGCGATGCTGAGGCCAGTTGGCGATGCTGAGGCCAGTCTGGCATGCTGAGGCCAGTCTGGCGATGCTGAGGCCAGTCTGGTGATGCTGAGGCCAGTCTGGCGACGCTGAGGCCAGTCTGGCAATGCTGAGGCCAGTCTGGCGATGCTGAGGCCAGTCTGGCGATGCTGAGGCCAGTCTGGCGATGCTGAGGCCAGTCTGGTGATGCTGAGGCCAGTCTGGCGATGCTGAGGCCAGTCTGGGATGCTGAGGCCAGTCTGGCGAGCTGAGGCCAGTCTGGCATGCTGAGGCCAGTCTGGCGTGAGGGCTCGATGGAGGCCAGTCTAGTGATTGCTGAGGCCAGTCTGGCGATCGCTGAGGCCAGTCTGGTGATGCTGAGGCCAGTCTGGTGATGCTGAGGCCAGTCTGGCGACGCTGAGGCCAGTCTGGCAATGCTGAGGCCAGTCTGGCGATGCTGAGGCCAGTCTGGCGATGCTGAGGCCAGTCTGGTGATGCTGAGGCCAGTCTGGCGACGCTGAGGCCAGTCTGGCGATGCTGAGGCCAGTCTGGCGATGCTGAGGCCAGTCTGGTGATGCTGAGGCCAGTCTGGCGATGCTGAGGCCAGTCTGGCGATGCTGAGGCCAGTCTGGTGATGCTGAGGCCAGTCTGGCGACGCTGAGGCCAGTCTGGCAATGCTGAGGCCAGTCTGGCGACGCTGAGGCCAGTCTGGCGATGCTGAGGCCAGTCTGGCGACGCTGAGGCCAGTCTGGCGATGCTGAGGCCAGTCTGGCGATGCTGAGGCCAGTCTGGCGACGCTGAGGCCAGTCTGGCGATGCTGAGGCCAGTCTGGTGATGCTGAGGCCAGTCTGGTGATGCTGAGGCCAGTCTGGCGATGCTGAGGCCAGTCTGGCGATGCTGAGGCCAGTCTGGTGATGCTGAGGCCAGTCTGGCGATGCTGAGGCCAGTCTGGCGATGCTGAGGCCAGTCTGGCGACGCTGAGGCCAGTCTGGCGATGCTGAGGCCAGTCTGGCGATGCTGAGCCAGTCTGGCGACGCTGAGGCCAGTCTGGCGATGCTGAGGCCAGTCTGGCGATGCTGAGGCCAGTCTGGCGATGCTGAGGCCAGTCTGGCGATGCTGAGGCCAGTCTGGCGATGCTGAGGCCAGTCTGGCGATGCTGAGGCCTAGTCTGGCGATGCTGAGGCCAGTCTGGCGATGCTGAGGCCAGTCTGGCGATGCTGAGGCCAGTCTGGCGATGCTGAGGCCAGTCTGGCGATGCTGAGGCCAGTCTGGTGATGCTGAGGCCAGTCTGGAGATGCTGAGGCCAGTCTGGTGATGCTGAGGCCAGTCTGGCGATGCTGAGGCCAGTCTCCCCTCAGGGAAGGTTCCTTGATGTTGGTGAGGGGCTCTTGATTTAGGGAATTGGATCTGTGCTCCAGTTCCCCGAATTAAGCCTGAATGCCTTCCACATCCTCCCCCCCAGGCGCTGTATAATCCTCCGGGTTTAGCGCTTCCCCCTGATTATAATAATAATAATGAGGCCAGTCTGGTGATGCTGAGGCCAGTCTGGCGATGCTGAGGCCAGTCTGGCGACGCTGAGGCCAGTCTGGCAATGCTGAGGCCAGTCTGGCGATGCTGAGGCCAGTCTGGCGATGCTGAGGCCAGTCTGGTGATGCTGAGGCCAGTCTGGCGATGCTGAGGCCAGTCTGGCGATGCTGAGGCCAGTCTGGCGATGCTGAGGCCAGTCTGTGTGTGAGGGCCATCTGGGATGTAGGCCAATCTGGCGATGCTGAGGCCAGTCTGGTGATGCTGAGGCCAGTCTGCATGCTGAGGCCAGTCTGGCACTGCTGAGGCAGTCTGGCGATGCTGAGCCATCTGGTGATGCTGAGGCCAGTTGGCGAGACTGAGGCCAGTCTGGCATGCTGAGGCCAGTCTGGCATGCTGAGGCCAGTCTGGCGACGCTGAGGCCAGTCTGGCGATGCTGAGGCCAGTCTGGCGATGCTGAGGCCAGTTGGGCTGGCCGACTGGCATGTGAGGCCAGTCTGGTGATGCTGAGGCCAGTCTGGTGATGCTGAGGCCAGTCTGGCGATGCTGAGGCCAGTCTGGCGATGCTGAGGCCAGTCTGTGATGCTGAGGCCAGTCTGGCGATGCTGAGGCCAGTCTGGCGATGCTGAGGCCAGTCTGGCGATGCTGAGGCCAGTCTGGCAATGCTGAGGCCAGTCTGGCGATGCTGAGGCCAGTCTGGCGATGCTGAGGCCAGTCTGGCGATGCTGAGG